GTGTGTGTGTGTGTGTGTGTGTGTGTGTGTGTGTGTGTGTGTGTGTGTGTGCGCGCATTAGATTAGATAATATGTTGAGTGTCTTTTATAACAACCCACGCCACATGACAGGAGGGTCGCTAGCCAGTTTGTTAGCTAGCTAGATAACTTTAGCAAGCTAGCTATCTAACTAGCACACTCCAAATGAACTAGTAGGGGAGACTGGGGTCTGTTGAAACATCTGACTTTTTCCTTTCAAATGTATGCATGTATGTAATGTAATTTGTCATATATATTCATCTTTAAATGGTATGGGTAATTGGCACACATTTGTAAGTTTAATATATAAGTATGAGTCTTGTCTGAAAAGTCTCTGAGTAACTGAGAGAAATGCATAAAGTGTCCCCACTCTCCCCTTTTTATAAATGTCATTACTGGACCTTTTTCTACCCTTCTGGTGAGAGTTATTACAAACCTTTGTTGTTCCCCATAGCAACGCCATCTACACAGAGAACCAGTAGAGTTCTTAAATACGTTCTCATGAGCAATTTCAGACCAGCTTTTTATTTTGCGTGGTTCTGTAAAACCACCAAATTGACACAGTGTTAACGGTCGATCGTCCAAATAATAATAGATTGTTCCTAATGCTGCTCAAAAACTGGCGGAGCAACGTTAGGGGAATGTTTGGCGGCAATCTCGCTTTTACACATATAAAATAAAAACTTATCAAGTCAAAAACACGACCTCTATGATATACTTTGCTCAATAAAATTGAAACATCACAGTGAACTTAAGACCAGAAACATATTTACCACAAACTATAACCATGTTAGAGTAAACGGATAGAAATGGTGAATAATAATTAATCTGCTTTAAAAGGATATCCATCAGGTTGCATCATCGTCTTGATGTCAAACACCTCTGCAGTCAGGTAGTCTGGCCCCCCCCACGGTGGTGAGAGGAAGACCACATCTCCAAGGAGACGGGGCGCCAGCTCGAGGAAGTCCCCCTGCACAAAGTCGATTCTGTCGGCGACGTTGTAAACCACAGCGTTGTGGCGCGCCAAGTCCAGCCGCACCGGGTCGATATCGATGGCCAGGACTGAGACGAGACCCAGGACATGAGGAGGAGAGATACAGAGTCTGTGATCTGGCTGAAGGATGCTTATAGACAATGGAACATGTTCAATCATGCTTTTGGACAGTCCATCACAGGCTGCAAACATGGTGGCCATCTTAACTGTTTAAAAAAATGTTCTGCTCTATTATCTTTATACAAGCCCCCATTAACAAATTGAGCATTTTAATCTCAATTAATGCTGACATGGTATCAGAATGACCATTTTAACTTGATTTCTTAATACATCGTTAAAAGAACTAGGGTTAAAGGAGAATGCTGAGGCAAGGATAATAAGAAAAGAGCAGCTCAAGTTGACAATGACCTTGCTGCTTTATCTTTAAGAGCTGAAGCTTTATATAATATTGCAACTTCTCATATCTTTAACTGTCTTTCAATTAATGTTCAGCTGACAAATACACTCCAGATATATTCTGATCAGATTAAATCAGATAATAGAGACTAACTTGTTAGTGTTGGGTTATTGTTGGGCATTATAAACCATGATAATGCACTATTTGTAGTACTTTGAGAACATTTCTTACATTTCACTTCAGCTACATCAATTGTGAATCAGTGCATTTGTCCATGAACCACTGTACCTTTAAATTAAGTTTACATCCCACCCAAGACTTGTATGGTGATGGAGAGGATAGTGACATGAAAGTAGTAGAATGTACTTTTATTTATTTATATAAAGCATTGAGATAGAATCTCATTTGCAATGCTGACCTGGCCAAGAAGGCAGCAACGTTACACATAACACCGACATATAAAATACAGAGAACATAGCTAAGAAAACAAAAGAGGAAAAGCAGTCACTACATTGTGCACATTTGGACAGTAAGAAAGGTACACTACTTATTACTGCAAAGGCAGCTGGTGGTAAGGACTTCAGACAACTTCAATTTAAAACATGCTATTGAGACAAGTGCCCTCAGTTTTAGTCTTGATTGAAGGTCATTCCAAGACCAAGGACCATAATAAAAAAGACTCCTTTTCCCAGCCTCAGTCCGCACAGCAGGTACCTGGAACCGTTTCAAGGCACTGGATCTGAGGTTGTAAGAGTCACAAACTGGAGCAAATCTGGCACATATGTACACTTACCTAAAATGGCTTTATACATTAATAAAAACCAATGCTTCCATAATCTATCGGGAGTTTGTATTGTCATTCTGATTATTATAGGTTATATGTTATGTATATGAAGAACAGTAAGAAAAATATACATACAGATAATAATTCAAACAAATATGGAAAACTCTGACACATGGGGTGAACTTGATTGATTAAAATGAACTTCAACTTGTAGAGGTCAGCAGAATAGAAAAAGGAACATAATGAAACAAAGTTGTCACCAAACACACACACACCCACCTCTCTTTCCAGCGAGGGCGAACTGGATGGCGTTTCCTCCCACTCCACAGAAGGCGTCTATGATCAGCTGAGAGTCGGGGAAGCTGTGCTCCACCCGGAGGGCGATGTGTTCGGCGATCCTCTCCGGGGTCACAGAGAACCAGCCCTCTGAAAAACACCCCCACATGTCACTGATCTAATGCAGCCGCTGTGTAGGTCCTTATTCTGCAATCCTCTTTACATGTCTTTATACATAAATATGTGTCCCCTCTGTGTTGAGAGATTTTGACAGTTTCTGATCAGATTTTGGCCACTTTGTGATGTAACAATGTTTTATGGCTTGTGTAAACATTAGCAAATAACGAACCAAGGTAA